TCAGCTTGAACTTGTCGGCTTCTACACGCTTGTGAGCCATTTATCTAAGATAAATTTCTCTCTCTCTCTCTTTCTCTCTCTATAAATATATATATATATATATATATATATATATATACTTTGCTGGTTTTTGTGTTTCTCTAGAGAACCCAATCCAACACACCATATAACATTAAAATATTTTGGAAATTTCATTTCAACTTATGTTGGCTGAAAAAATATAAAACTTTAATCATTTCAAACACATAGAAGTAACACATACTCATACATACAAATGTGAGCTGCAAAAATGTGTAGCAGTAGTATCTGTAGAAATACCCTCTTACACCACAGCAGCATGAGCAGCACCTAGTAGGCTGTATGGTACATGCAGTCTGCTATGTGTACATGTGGATACATGAGATATTTCCTCTGTCCTGTCTGCATAGTGTGAAAGCCCAATGTAAGGGCTCAACATGGAGAATGAACGTGTCCAGGTACTGGCTGTACATCATTGCTTTAGTTGCAACTTGAAATTATTGGAACTGAGTTTGCGATTACAAATGTTATATTATTTTTTTTTTTTTTTAGTACTTAAATAATTTGAAGAAGAGCTGGAAGGAACAGGGGCATTTGTTTAACTGAACATTGGGGAAAAATGAGAGAGGGAATCAGTGATTTGAAAACAGTATAAATGTCAGGGGGAGAAAAGGTTACTAGATGAATATATATTAAATATACATACATGTATTTTCTCCCCCTACCTCCCCATTCCCTCCTCCTCTCAGTGCCTGGTACCCACTTTTTATCTCAATAGACTTACCTATTCTAGATATATCATATAAGTCAAAAGAAAAAAAAAAAAAAAAAAAAAAAACTCACTGCTGTCGAGTCAGATGCAACTCATTGCCACCCAGATCCTATAATATTAGTCCTTTTGTGTCTGACTTACTTCAGCATGATCTTTTCAAGATCCATCCATGTTGTGACATGTGTGAGGACTTCATTTCTCTTTATGGTTGAATGTGTATACTATATTTTGTTTATTTGTTGATAATCACTTGGGTTTTTCCATCTCTTGACTATTATGAATAATGCTGTAGTGAATATTGGTGTACATGAGTCTGAGTAGCTGCTTTCAGATCTTTTGGGTACATCCCCAGGAGTGGAATTGCTGAGTCATATGGTAATTCTCTGTTTAACTTTTTAAGGACCTGCCCAACTGTTCTCCATAGTGACTACACCATTTTACATCCTCACTAATAATGTACAAGTGTTCTAATTTCTCCACAGCCTTGCCAATATTTGTTATTTTCCTTTTATTTTTTCATAGTAGACATATTAGTGGGTGTGAAGTTATATCTAATTGTGGTTTTAATTTGCATTTCCCTAATGGCTTAGTCTGACAACTTAATGTGTTCAGTTAAAAAAATACCATGAAACAAGAAAAAATGTTTTTGTCAGATAATGTGCCCCAATTTTGGTTTAAAAAAGTTTTATCACCTTCATTAGATACATATAGAGAGAGAGATAGAGAGAGAAAGGCTCAGAAGTTATCTAAAATGTATGTATACTTCTATAAGCATCCATTTTTGGTAGTATGGGTTAAATTTGGACTTAGAGGTTTCCTAATCAGTAACTTTTAAACTATTACTAGATATTCCACAAGGTAGAATTTTTCTTTTTCTTTTCTCAAAATGCAGGTATCCTCCAGTGTGATCCAGGAACAGTAAGAGAAGAAATACAGATATTTAGACTCTTTTGCCATGAATGTCAAAGAGTCTTCCATGATCGTTTGATTAATAATGAAGATAAGCACTATTTCCATGTTATTTTGACAGAAATGGCCAGTAAATATTAATCTTTATTTATCTGTTGTTGATTTTTTATTTGTTTGTTTTGGTCTTGAATTTTTTTCTGGTAGGAAAAAAGCAATTGGTTTCTATAGGGGAAAATTAAAATGAGTTTATATTAATGCAGAATGAATTTTAATCATTCGTGAATAAAAGTTCTTTGTTTAGATTCAGAATTTTATTATGAAAATTATTTTTTTGAAATTTTACTAAAACTTAATATTTTAAATTCAGTATAGGAGGGAAAGTAGGAGAAATACTGTTTTGTCTGAGAAGCAGCTAGCATATTTCTAAACTATTCCTTATTATTAAATAATGCACTCATTATTTATTATTTAATAAAATTTAAAAATATTTATTAAATAAATGATCGTGAT